AGTCCCGCCTTACATCAGGGTCTGCATCAGAGTCCCCCCTTACACCATGGTCTCCATCAGAATCTCCCCTTTATATCAGGATCCCTATCGGAATCCCTGTTACAGTATGGTCCCCATCAGAGTCCTCCCTTACATCAAGTTCTCCATCAGTCCCCCCCCTTACATCAGGTTCCCCATCAGAGTCCCTCCTTATATCAGGTTCACCATCAAAGTCCCCCCTTACATCATGGTTCCTCTCCGAGTCCCCCTCATATCAGGCCTGATCATAGCCCCCTTACATCAGGTTCCCCATCAGAGTCCGCCCTTATATTAGGTTCCCCATCAGAGTCTCCCCTTATGTCAGGGTCTCCATCAGAGTCCCCTTACAGCAAGTTCCCCATCAACGCCCTTCCTTACATCAGAAGCAGAGACCACAGGCAGCCTTTGGTGAATGTAATTCTCAGTCAGTGAACTTCAAGGATATGCCACTGACCATAGCTGGGGGCCACATAAAATCCCATAGTGGGCCAGATGTGGCCTGTGGGCCATAGTTTGTTACCTCTGTTATACACCACGACCACTCAGGAGTCATTGCCGCACCTTTTTAACATGGGTTCATCCCAATATGGTGCACAAAAAGGAATATGCTCCATTTCTGTAGGAGAGGAGCACTCTGAGGATCAATGGGGGCAGCTGAAAGATTTGTGCAGTTCATTATTTTTGGATCCAGAGTAGATCTTTGCTGTACAGAATAGATGGCCCCATGTGTTATTGGCTTGCTGCTTTTTCTCAGGAGTCTTCACAGAGCTGGAAGTGAAGACAGAGACATCCCCTGTTTAATCTTTTCTGAGATACTTTAAAGATTCTGTACAATTTAAATATATCTAAAGACCAAAATTTAAAGAAAGTAGGTAATGGTTAGAACCATTTTTTTTTTGCTTTTTCCTTTTATTATACAGTATTTTATGGAGATTTCCCTTCACAAATGTTCCAGAGACACTACAGGGAGTGAGAGGGAATTTCTCCGAAGTGAAGGGAAATCCATTTGTATTTGTCACTGGAACAGGTGTCCCCATCGGGATATTTTGTCTCTATTTCAGCAACTGCAACATTGTGGATTTCCCATCACTTCTACAAGTGTCAGAAGTGGCACCCCACCCATGAACTCTGAACCACCAAGGATGTCAGGATGGCCAGTATGGAGCACAGAGGAGAGATCCGATGGCTGATGTCTGCTTTGTGTAGTGAGCCCAGAAGTGGTTCTCTGATCTGAGCACTTCCAGGTTCACAGCGGTCAGATGAGAGCAGACTGTGCCCATGAAAACATCAGAGTGAGTACTTTCTGCACTCCATCAGTCAAGACAAGGTGTGTGGGAGACCTCAGGGCTCTAACAGACACTTGTGATCTCTATAAAGAGGACCTGTCACCTGCACAACGCTGTTATATTAGAGGCCTGTAAGCCTCCTTGCTATAGCAATACAGTAAAATAATAAAGTAAAAAATAAAAATTTAACTTAAATTAACTTTAAAAAATAAAAAAAATTATTAGAAAACCTAATAAAATAAATAAAAAAAATGTAAAGGGCAGACTCTCCCCCTTATTAATCACTTTGAATGAAGATATAGTAAGGCAATCATCAATTTCTTTAAAGGCAGACATTTTCGACAACTTTTGTCAAAACTCTTACAAAGTATAAGCGAGGAATGAGCGGAAGGGTTTTGTTTTAAATGATTTATTTAGTAATTATTCATTAATAACTGCATCAGCGGCAACATTTTTCTGATGCAGAAACTTGTACTTTCATTTATTGAGCTGCTCAGGTGATATTTTCTTGAAATAATCATTTTTTTTCCTGTCGCCGACACAGCAGCACACATGTGGTAGTAACCCCACCAACTTCCGCTCACAGGACCAATGCATAGCTATAAAGAGTTAATGTCCACACATCAGCCCAATCCCAAAAGTCCCAGAAGTTCTGGGCAGTCTGACTGTCCCAGAAGTGTTAGTATTAGTGGAAGGTTATACAATCCGGATTCAAGAAGACAATGCCATAAAGATGATGTACGGCAATTGTCAGGTGGTTCCAATTTTGCTGCAGCAAATCGAAAGATAGGTATCTTTGGAAAGACGTCAGGCTCCATCCTTGTCAGGCATGACGATTCCAGGTACACACAAGCCTGCATCAGACAACAGACCTAAACCCTGTGAGAGTGATTCCTACCCCTGGAATTATTCCTGGAGGTGTGTCACAGGTAGGAAACTTCAGAGGTTGACTACCTGTCTCTCAGGTCAAACCAAAGTCTAAGTAGTTTTGTCTCAGGCGCAGTGGTCCTCTGGTGGATGCAGTAGATGGTCTAGTGACTCTGGGATCAGTACTTCCTGACCCATTCCTTCCCTCGTTTGTCTCACGTTTGGGATGGAAGGCATTCCTGTGTTCCTCATTGTTTTAGGTTGATCCAGACAGATGTGGTACTCCAACCTGTGGCAAGGGATGCTAGACAGTTGCTCTGTGGGATCTACTGGATCAAGATTATCTGCTCCCAAGGAATGTTTTTTGCCATCCAGCTTCAAGTTGCCTTTAACAGCTTGATGATTGAAGCTCAAGTTCTGAGAGACAGGACATGATGGAGTCTAGGAATCCCTTGATAAACTTCAAGGTCTACTTCTTGTCAAATCTATCACTGGACATACGGTGCATGATTATCTTGGTATAAGGCTCAGGACTTCCTCCCCAGGAGTTTGTTCATGGGACAAGACCTCTCCTGCAGCCGGGGCTATGTCGGCATTTGTCTCTCAGCACTATTAGGGCTCTCAGTGTTGCTGCCCTTGTAATTCCTTGGGATCAGAAGTAGTTCACTTTTAGCCTTCTCTTACTGAGGTGATTCTTTGGACCGATGACCTTGTCTGGCATGGAACCCTTCATGGGTTTTGCATAAGACAAGGTTGTTCAGACCCAGTTCTTTGCCTTGCTTAGGGTAATTTCCATCTATCTCCCAAACAAGACATCCTTATCCAGTTCTCCAGTCTGCCTCCAGTTCACCCAAAGGATGTTTCCATCTTTTGGTTGAATGTGGTCGGGATAGAGAGTCTATCTCTCAGCCTCTACTTTCCTCTTGTGTTTCAAGATGGATCCTTTGCTTTTGCTCCAATTTCTACTTCAAACATGTCAACTCATCATCCAGCCCCATGGTCCAGGATTTAGGTTCCATCCCTTCCTGACAGGATGCACTTTACTAAATTCATGAGTGCTTGCTGAACTTTGCTGCAGACAACTGTTTATTAGATCTGCAAGGCTGCCACCTAGGTTTCTATCCTCACATTCTCTATGTTCTACCAGGGGCTTGAGGTGATTCTAGCCATATTAATGTACTTGCAACATGAGTGATTGGATGTTGTCCATGGTGCCCTTTTTGTTTTTTTTCTGGTGTCTGGATTTTTGGGGTGTGCCCCCTTGAAGAAGGAGGGTGTGCCGCACCCCTGCGGCTTGTCCATGGAACTTGGATGTTGGTGCAGATAGGGAGGGTATTGCAGATGGTGCTCAATTGTTTTTCTATTTTTCTACCAGGTGGACATTCGGCCTTATCTGAAGTGAGCTGCTGGTATAAGGAAACTTAGGCAGGCCCTTAGGCAGCTACAGGCAGTTCACAGCTTTGCTGTTGCCATTGCATTAAGAACATGTGGGCATTTGTTTGCCTATCCCTCAGTAGGATTGTTTTGACCAGCCTTAGGTTAGGTACTCCCTCAAGACATCCAGATCGAAGATGGCAAACAACAGTCATTTGGGTAGCCAGAATAGCTATACCCAGTTCCTTAGAAACCAACAAAGGTAGAAGGCACAAACACACAATCGCCTTGCGTTTCCTAAATTTAATTCAAAGAGCCCACTATATGGCTGGGCTACAGTCACTGGAAGTAATTGCTGCACATTCAACCAGCACCATTAGAACATTGTGGGCACGTTACCCAGTGATGTCAACCGCAATGATAGGCAGTTCCTTCAGCACTACTAATGGGCTCAGTGGTCCTCACAACGGCTGACTTTGGCAGGAATGCAGCACCTTACCTAGGATTTGCTTAAGCTTTCCAGCTTTCCACCCTGGTAGCTAGTTATTGGTGTACCACATGCATGCTGCCATGTTGGCACCAGGAAAACAGAAATTTGTATCAAATACTTACCATAATTTTGCAGTATACTAAACCCTGTGCCTTTAAGGAGGAATGGGTTCCTTTCAGGTAAAACCTGCCCTAATTTATCCACTACTATATGAAGACTCTTAAAACTGTAGAGTTAGGACAGCAGTATACAGAGGGGTCTTGGCAGGGCACTGCGGTTTTCAAAAATATTTGCAAATGCGCGCAACTAAACCCTGTGTTTTTACTGTGAATTGTTAGATGGTCAGTTTTTTTTTTTTTGTGTAGACTAGCTGGTAAGTGTGCTGGGAAATGTTCTCTTGTTTATGAAGCATAATAAACCCACCCAGTTCATTCCTTAGGATGTACTTGGAATAGGTTGTTGTGTAGGTCTTAACTCTTTATAGCTTTGTGCTGGTCCTGTGGGGGGAAGTAGATGGGGCTACCACCATATGTGTGCTGCCATGGATTGGTGCCAGGGGAGGAAAATTACGGTGCAATTTTCTGTTTTTTTTCCTCTTTGTTTCAGGGTGTATTTAGGGTAGTTTAGTATACTTAGCATGTGTTTTTTTTTACATGCATTTCATTCTTATTTCTGTACTGTTACTTAAAATTTTTTTATTTTACTTTTTTCACTGTCTCTTTTTTTCTCTTTCTTTTAAACGTAAAATAATGAGGCCAAGGCCTCATGCACACTGGGAATTTGCCTAGCTCTTCTAAACGCCATTCTCCCGGCAGAAGAACAGCAGCGTCAAAATGAATGAACGCCCAAGTGCTTGATGAGTTTAGTCAGGGGCGGACTGACAACTCATGGGGCCCCCGGGCAATAGGGGTTCATGGGGCCCCTGTGTCCTTGCCCAGACTCAAAAAAGCCTATGAAAAAGGTACCAGGGGCATCTCATGGGGCCCCCTACTGACCTCGGGCAGTGCCCAAGTTTGCAAATGGTCAGTCCGCCCCTGGGTTTAGTACTTAAGCATGTTATTTATTTTATTTATTTATTTCAGGTACTTATATAGTGCAGTCAGTTTACGCAGCACTTTACATATATATTATACATTCACATCAGTCCCTAACCCTCAAGGGGTGTACAATCTAAGGTCCCTAACTCACATTCATACATACACATACTAGGGACAATTTAGACAGGAGCCAATTCACCTACCAGCATGTCTTTGGAGTGTTTAGACGAGTTTGCACATGTTTAGGCGCGTTAGGCCATTTTTCTGCCAGAATTCTACTGCTCCTGAACGAAATGAAAGTGAGGTTATTTTCTGTCTGTAAACACCTAGTACGTGTGTACAGACACCTAGGCTAACATTGCGGGACGTTTAGAGGCAGGAAAAAAAATGCAAGATGCCTATAAAAGCACTGTTTAAAATCCAGTGTGCATGAGGCCTAATGAGGGGATGATTTGTGCAGAAGAACAGGTCCAAGATAGTTGACGTGAATTCTGTATCCCTCAGAAGCCATTTAAAGCCCATTGTAAAAAAAAAAAAGTCAAAAGCCACCTCAATGACATTGATGCCAGTATATTTCACCATAATTATAAAATTTTACCAAAATCTCCCAAACTGAAATCTTACATTTTTGTTATTCTTTATGTTATGTTTTTTTTTTCAAGTTTTATATTTTTTAATATAATCCAATTAGTAATTTATGGTTTGTGGCATTTAAAGCACAACTACAGAAATTGGGAAAAAATCTGGCCTTGCCCTGGGGTCCCCCCCTATGCTCCACCTACACATCCTTTGTGGAACTTTTGGAGATGACGCAGGTGACAAAATGCAGGCATGGTGTTGAAATGGAGACATCTCCTTGCCTATCTCCAGTCTTGGAGGCCTCTTCCTCTGGGCTTTGAAGTAGAATCTCAGTTTCTGGCATCTTGGACATGACACCAGTCACACCTCTCAGCATTCCTCTCTCTGCTAGTGGTCTTTGAATTGTTGACAGGCTGGACGACTGCTGAGGACCTAATCCTGTGGGTGACCTTTTGACTCTTTGTAGGAGATACTTGAAACCTCAAATGGCCAGGATCAGAGTGGACAATTTCTCCTCTCCTCTTCAGTTAATCAGAAAGCAGCCGGCTTTCCTAGGAAGTCCCATTTGTCTTATCCCATATCATGGGTACCCTGGGTTCATATTACATATCTCATATCATGGGCACCCTGGACTCATATTACTTGTCTTGTATCATGGGTGGGTGCCCTGGACTCATATTACTTGTCTTGTATCATGGGTGCCCTGGACTCATATTACTTGTCTCGTATTATGGGTGTCCTGAGTCCATAATACTTATTTCATGTCATGGGCTCCCTGGACTCATATTACCTGTCTTGTGTCATGGGCACCCTGGGCTCATATTACTTATTTCATATCATGAGCACCCTGGGCTTATATTACATGTCTTGTATCATGTGTGCCCTGGTCTTATATTACTTGTGTTGTAAAATGGGCACCCTAGGCTCATAATACATTTCATGTATCATGGGCACCCTGAGCTAATATTACTTGTCTCGTATTATGGGTGTCCTGGATCCATATTACTTTTCTCATATCATGGGCACCCTACACTCATATTAGTTATCTTGTATCATGAGCACCCTGGGCTCAAATTACTTGTCTCGTATTATGGGTGCCCAGGATCCATATTACTTATCTCATATCATGGACACCCTGGACTCATATTACTTGTCTTGTATCATGTGTGCCCTGGGCTCATATTACTTGTGTTGTATCATTGGTGCCCTGGCCTTATATTACTTGTCTTGTATCATGGGCTCCCTGGGCTCATATTACTTATCTTATATCATGGGCGTCCTGACCTTGTGTTACCTGTCTTGTATCATGGGCACCCTGACCTTGTGTTACCTGTCTTGTATCATGGGCACCCTGACCTTGTGTTACCTGTCTTGTATCATGGGCACCCTGACCTTGTGTTACCTGTCTTGTATCATGGGCACCCTGACCTTGTGTTACCTGTCTTGTATCATGGGCACCCTGACCTTGTGTTACCTGTCTTGTATCATGGGCACCCTGACCTTGTATTACCTGTCTTGTATCATGGACACCCTGACCTTGTGTTACCTGTCTTGTATCATGGGCACCCTGACCTTGTGTTACCTGTCTTGTATCATGGACACCCTGACCTTGTGTTACCTGTCTTGTATCATGGGCGTCCTGACCTTGTGTTACCTGTCTTATATCATGGGCACCCTGACCTTGTGTTACCTGTCTTATATCATGGGCACCCTGACCTTGTGTTACCTGTCTTGTATCATGGACACCCTGACCTTGTGTTACCTGTCTTGTATCATGGGCACCCTGACCTTGTGTTACCTGTCTTGTATCATGGGCACCTTGACCTTGTATAACCTGTCTTGTATCATGGACACCCTGACCTTGTGTTACCTGTCTTGTATCATGGGCACCCTGACCTTGTGTTACCTGTCTTGTATCATGGGCACCCTGATCTTGTGTTACCTGTCTTGTATCATGGGCACCTTGACCTTGTATAACCTGTCTTGTATCATGGGCACCCTGATCTTGTGTTACCTGTCTTGTATCATGGGCACCCTGATCTTGTGTTACCTGTCTTGTACCATGGGCACCCTGAGCTCACATTACTTCTCCCATATAACGGCTTTAGCATATTGATTCAAAGGTGAGCAATGAGCATGCCCAACCAATAAACACAGATATGTAGATACCAGTTAGTAACTCTGTTAAATCTCTGTTACAAATATTTACACTTCTGGGAAAATCAACTGACTCAATTGGAAACTTTGTACATAAAAAGATAAATTGCTCTTCATCCAGCTCTCCCCCTTGCTGTGAATGATCAACCTTCTACCCTTCACTTTCATTTCAGCCCCAGTGGGGGTCCTCCAACTGCCTAGTCCCATGCAAATTCTACCTTTTGATCCCCTTTTAGATCTCTCTTTCCAGTAACATCTTTTTTTATATCATAACGTCGCTGAGGCTGCCAAAAAATTGTTTTGCACTCCCTCCACAGGATAAATTTGTCTCTGTCCCCTGAGACCCAACGTTGCTTTTTTGCAAAACTTCAAAACCGCTGCAATTTTTTTTTTCCTGTGCTGTGCCATTTTTTTTTCTCCCTTTTGATTTACTGTAAGCTTATTTAATGACGCTGCAAATGCCGAACAAAAACGTTCAAGTCATCAAAACGGTCACTGGCAGCGAAAGACCGGCGCAAACAGGAAAAAGCAGACTGAATTTATACTGAGTGTGTAGAGTTACAGGTGAGAGTCGCTGCCAGTAAATTAAAGCTGATGTCAGTCACTTGTGGCGGAAATGCTTGGTAGGAGTTTTATTTTGTAGAGGCAAAATTGTACGAAACTATGCGCCAAATGTGGCAAAAATAAATCTATAAGAAATAAAAATAAAACTTCAGAGAAGCCAAAACTGCAACTTTGTATAAAAAAGAAATTTATTATCTTTACAGATTTGTTTTTCAAGGTTCGGGATCTTAGATGAGTTCCATAAAGTCTATCACCTGGGGAGACATATTCTATATGTACAGATGACTTTGAGCTATACCAGTAAAGAACATTATAGACAATCCCAACCATGGCACCACCTGCCTGGAGTTTGCATGTTCTCCCTGTGCCTGCGTGGGTTTCCTCCGGGTACTCTGGTTTCCTCACACTCTCCAAAGACATGCTGGTAGATGAATTAGCTCCTGTCTAAATTGTCCCTAGTATGTGTATGTATGAATGTGAGTTAGGGGCCTTAGATTGTACGCCCCTTGAGATTTAGGGACTGATGTGAATGTACAATATATATGTAAAGCGCTGCGTAAATTGACGGCGCTATATAAGTACCTGAAATAAATAAATAAATAAATAAATAACAGACAGCCATTGGTGAGCCATTTAACGTGAAACTGTAGCCCACACTTGAGCTGGAAGAATTGGAAGTCTTGTCGGGTTTTCTTCGCCAAGCATCTTCTGTTGGAGAGATTATGTTGTCATTCACTCCCGGAGGCCTCATGGAAAGTGTTGGAAAATCTCCCCATTGGGGACATATAATATAATAAAATCTAAAAGAGCCTTCTTCTTGGTTTGTTTCCTTCCTTTTAATACTCTGATTATCACATGATCAGAGGATAAAATCATTAGCATTATAACTCCCACTCACACCAATGATAAGGGACTATTCTTCCTACTGACCCCAACGATGGGGCACTATTTTCCTCCTCACAAAAAGATGGGGTACTATTTTCCTACTGACACCAAAGATGGGGTACTAATCATGCCTATGACACCAAAGATGAGGGACTATTTTTCCTACTGACACCAATGATAGGGCACTATTCCTTCTACTGACACCAAAGAAGGGGCAGTATTTCTTCCACTGACACCAATGATGGGGCACTGTTCCTCTCACCAACACCAATGAGGGAGCACTATTCCTCCCTCTGACACCAATGATGGGGCACTATCAACTCATGGGGCCCCCGGGCAATAGGGGATCATGGGGCCCCTGTGTCCTTGCCCAGACTCAAAAAGGCCAATGAAAGAGGTACCAGGGGCATCTCATGGGGCCCATTACTGACCCTGGGCCCTCGGGCAGTGCCCGAGTTTCCAAATGGTCATTCCGCCCCTGGGAATTATTCCTTCTACTGACACCAACGCTGGTGCACTATTCCTTCCACTGACACCAATGATGGAGCATTACTCCATCTACTGATACCAACAACGGGGCAGGATTTCTTCCACTGACACCAATGATGGGGCACTATACCTCTCACTGATACCACAAATGGGGCAATATTCCTCCCACTGACACCAATGATGGGGCACTATTCCTCCCATTGACACCAACAATGGGTCACTATTCCTCCCACTGACACCAATGATGGGGCACTACTCCTCCCACTGACACCAACAATGGGGCACTATTCTTCCCTCTGAAGCCAATGATGGGGCACTATTTCTTCCAATGGCACCAACAATGGGGCAATATTCCTCCCATCGACAGCAAT